TGTGATTCTTCTTGTCTCCCTGCAGCGGATATCTCTGTCTTTCTATTCAGCGTACAGCAGACGAGAGGTTGCTGGATCAGGCTTTGAACCTTGACCCCCTTTTGCTCAAGGGAGATCTATTCTGCTGGTAAGAAAAGCATGCTGTTAAGACATAATTATTATCATGTCCTCATAGTCCAAACTCAAAGAGTGAACAAAGTGTTCACGATTTCTAAAAAGAAAGTCAAACGCATTTTAGTCAGACTACATGAAAAATGTTTGCTCTCTCTCAGACGATCTTATGAGTGACAAGCCAGACTGTGGTTTGTCATTGTCTCTCTGAAATATGAAGGTCTTCCCTGAAAAAGTAATTGTCTGGATGGCAGCAGATGTTGCTTCAAAAGCTGTTTTTTAGTTTTAACCTACTTTAGGAATAGAGCAACAAACTGTGTTCACAGAAAAGGATTTTTGGGAGTGACGCAGTAATTTCCACTCCAGAGTTCTGTCTGTTTTTAATAAAATGCTGCCTGAGGGCCTGAAGATCAGGAACATCCAATCTTGGTTTTGGTTCTTGTCCCTTTAATACAGAGATTTCTCCAGATTCTCTGAAATGACTGTTTGACCACTAAAACTTTTTCCTCAGCTTCTTCCCTTTTTTTGGAACGTGTGTTAAATACCTACTCCAATGAAAATCATGTTTTTCTTGTTTTTCATATGTTCATATGTCATTTTTCTGATGTTACAGGACATATCACAAGAAAACTAAATGTGAAATTGCTTTTTTGAGTATTTCTTCATTCAAATTGCTGTGAATCTGTGGCAGACCCAAACGACAGGTTCAGAAAAAGCGAGATTTCATATGTAACCAATCCAAGCTCCACCCTGGAGTTTACATCGTGTCCCTAAAGACATTTGTGTTCGAAAGTTAACGTGAAGACGAGTTTGGTATGGTATGGTATGGTATGGTATGGTCTTTATTGTCATTGCAACTGTGCACAACGAAATTGCATTAACAGACGGGGAAAGTACACACAAGAGGGAGGGAGAGGAGGAGGTAAAAAAAAGAGACTACTCTCATTAATATGAGTGCAGTGACAAAAAAAACCCTCAGCAACATGAGCACATTACTGACACCACATACACAGAGATTCGGAGACATGCTATGGTTGTGGGGTGGGGGTAGTGGAATGGGTCATCAGTGATGGTGGGAAGCCCACGGGCGCCGCCAGTAAGGGCGTTGGGTGGGGGAGAGGTGAGTGTGTGCGTATTTGCATGTGTGTGAAGGTTCATGGATGCGTGTGTGCGTAGGCCCAGGAGGTCTCTGCTAATCAGAGTCTCAGAGCTAATCGCTAATGATCTACTGGAGCTCTGCAGAAGAAAAGTCCTTAAGAATTACACAGGTAACACAATTTTTGGTACAAACTTCATAATCACAATTTAAAGACCACTTGGAACACTTTAAGTAGTACGAAAAAAAAAAGATCGGAGTGGGACTTTAAACTGTGGTATCACAGCCATCTTAAGGTGTTGTGTAAATGATTGGTTGGCAATGGTGGTTTAACAGCAAGTCTAGTCGGCTGAAGGTGATATAAACCATGGTGTAAACACAGTACCTCAGTGAATGACCAGTATTGATAAGCGCTAAATCTGTCAGTAAGTAAGTAAAGGAGGGGGAAATGTGTGTGATTTGTGTGAAATGTGTTACTGAGAGCAGAGAAAAGGGTAATTAGCTGATGGCTGACTCAGGCTGCTCGCAGCTTTGTGTCGGGCGTGGATGGAGAAACACATGAAGCGTATCTCTTCAGGCATTATAAAACTCTCTTTATGGTCAGTTTGTGTAGCCCCGCAGATTAAGTTCAGAGAAAGACAGACGCTTTTTCTTCCTAGGTCTTAAATCCTGTTCCTCCTCGACTGGCTCAGTGGATCAATTCTCGGGTAGAGCTGAGATACCCCTGCTGTCAGCAGCCACAGGAAGGCTGAAAAGACTGGTGTCTAAAAATACATTACTAAGGGACTATTTCACCTCTGATTTAACGGCGCTCACAGAGCAGCATGACCGTTCTGCTTAAATTGCAGACTTTCCTTCCTCCACTCTGAACTGGCTCCCTTTGACGGCTTTAGTATTGAAGCTCTCAGTGGGCCGCAATCGCAGCCTCCGTAGGGCGATACAAAGCTCGCATTTGAAAATCACAGACAATCAGTGGTTCAGCGTATGATTCATCCAAAGAGTTCGTCCTCTGAAACTAGTCCCAGCATTTATCTCCAGAGAGCAGCACCACATGGAAATAAATGGTCGGTGTCTGGAGATGCTCTCTGTGTAGAGACACAAAGAGCCGTTTCAAATGTTGGAGAAAACCTGCAGCTGTGTAATCTCTGATTACTCTCCACAACAGAAAACCGACCAATCCTCGCATTTTTACCTCCGCCAAGGAGGTTATGTTTTCGGTAGCATTGGTTTGTTTGTTTGTTTGTCTGTAAGCAACTTTACAGAGACAGTAACAGACGGATTGACCTGAAATTTTCACCAGAGGTGCGTCTCAGCCCCAGGAGGATCCCATTACATTTTGGTGGTGATCCGGACAAAATTCTGGATACTGTGATCCAGAACACACAAAAATAAGGGTTTCGTTTGAATTTTCAATGCTGAAAGATAACCAATGGGCGGCACAGTGGTGTAGACAGGCGGTACAGTGGTGTAGTGGTTAGCACTGTTGCCTCACAACCAGAAGGTCCTGGGTTTGAATCCGGGTCAGGGTGTTTCTTGTTTTAGGAACATTATGAACAGTGAACATACCAGTTTAAACACAAATAAACGTTAATAAAAGACACATAACAGTAAAAGTTTTGGTGTGAATCACAATATAAGGGGGACATGAGCTGCTTGGTGGAGGTCTGCGCTCTCCGAGTGCTTTTCTAGTTCTTTATAGTTTGGAAGTGAACACAAAATGAAACAGCTGTGACCGCTGCTTGTGTTCTCTTGAGACAGAAACCTCTCTGTTACTTCAAATACATTTCCTGTATTGAAATGTGTTTGAGAGAGGATCCTGATAAAGAGGGATTATTAAAGAAGATGGATCTCATCATTCTTCATTTCCAAACAATGAAACCTCAGACTCACACACGCTCCTCTCAGGGTAGAAAAAACACATCATCTCCTGTCTTTGAATAACTGATTAACTATAGACATAAGTCACTATGATGAGGTATAAATTGGATAATATCAACACATATCAGCTTAAATTATTACAACTACTTTGTAAGAGAACACTTGACTCAATTAAAGGCATAGTTGATGATCTGAGAAGCAGTTGAAACCCCACACCCACAAACCTCTCCCCTCTGTGCTCCATGATAACTCCCCCCCCAAACCTGTATCGCCCTCCCAACGACACACCCCCTTTGGCAGAGCAAGAAGCGAGCACCACCTGCAGCTGCCTGGACAGCTACCATGTTGACATTGTAGAGACTAATAAGAGTAATTTATGTAACATGTGCCATGATAAGAGGCAAAAACTACCTGTTCAACAAAAACTCTGCTATTTCAGTGTCTGTTTCCAGGCTCAAATCCTGGCTGAGCTTTCTCCATCGCTCAAAGGATGACCCAATGTTATTCGAGTTAGATTCCTCGCTTAGTCGCATTTTCACTCCGACTCTACCCTTTCTTCTATCGTCTTGTGTTGTCTTTTGGCGGTGGGGCGAGCAGAACTGTTTTTTTTTATTTCGTCCTTCTCCATCACAGCAACTGTAGCGAAGCTGTTATGCTACTTCTAGCCGCTCAGAGCTCCGAGGAGGGCCGGGAGAGTCGGAGGAGACAAGTCGGAACTACAGGAGAGGGGTGTGTCGAATACAGCGAGGTGATTGGATGGAGAGGCGGAGCAGGAGATTGACCAATGAGAGCTGTCCGGGACGGATGGCTCCCATTGGTCAAGGTTTTTGCAGCCCTGCACCTGCTGGAGTGAACAGATTTTTTCCATTCTGTTTTCTCTACACTTTGTGGAGATCGCACTGTAGGACCATGATCGTCATATAAACGAGGTTCGTAATAATAACCAATCTCTCCAATCGTCAACCATGTCTTTAACAGAGAGTTTACATCTGACACAGACGTGAGAAAATGAGAAATTTAAGTGCAGAAGGGAATATATGTCATGTGAGTTTCAATACTCTATTCAGATGAAGGCATGGCTGACAGGTGCCTTTAAGTGTCCTTTCAAGAAGGAGTAAGAGTCAAAAATGGTAATGTGAACCAAATACAACCTTACTTTACGCCTCAAATAACCTCCACAGAAATTATTATACAAAGGATGACATATGGAACTAATCAAACAGCCCAGGGTGCTCAGGAGGATTATCTACTGAGTAATCTTTCTATTCAATCTGTCTCTGTCTCTTGGTATCTCTTGAGTCTGACAAACACAGCCAAGTGACGATTCACCCCCTCTAGTAATTGATCTGGATGAGAATTACTCATCTGTAGCTTGTGTAATGACACCTCTGTCCTTATTAAGATGAGATGTATTGAGTAAACTCAGTGCAGTCATATCTTGATGACCTGATGGGACTGAAGTTTATACCCTAGAACCCTTTTCCCACCTTGCTGGAATTTCACAAAACAGTGCTGACAAACTGTATAACTTAACTTTTGACTCTTAACCATGAGTCACGTAAAAAATAAACGCACAAAGTCAAGTGCTGCATTAATTATACATTTAAACCCTGTTGATCTGCCTGTTACTGACAAACCACTTGATCCAATTGATATGGAAGACATTCTTTACATCCCTCCAAAAAGACTCAGTGCTTTTGTGGAAGAGTACAAAGAAACTTGAAATCCGATTGTTTTCTTCTGAGCTGTTTGATCTAATTTTCAAGATACAAACCCATTGATGATCTCAGCTGATGATGATCTTTGTAAGACACCTGATAGTGTTGACTTAAGTAAAGATTACATCATCTTGTCCTATAGATCGGAACAAACACATCTCTTGATTAAGACTTTGAAAATGAAGACAAACCACAAATTTCCACGGAAATAGAAAACTCTTGTTGAAACAAGCATCAATACTGTCAACAGCTCCTTCAAAACTATGGGCAATGCATGCAAATCATATGGGATCATGCATCGAATGTGCCACCTCATAGAGCAGTCAAAAAACGCTCACAAAATAACACACCTACAAGTCCAATTCTTAAGCCAGCGACTAACAAATATGGATTCACATTAGATTTAAGAAAAGTAGATGATGTGACAATACCCACAGCTCCGATTGTGAGTTATGTTTACACTATTTTAACCGCACTTGATTTATGCTCTGCATAGTTCTCTATCCCTGTACATGAGGACACAAGAGATTTATTTGCGTTTACATACAAAAATGAGCAATGTGTTTGGAAAAGACTACCTACAGGATTTGTGGATTTAGCCGCTGTTTATTCTGCTGCTGCCAATATGCACTTGTCTCAGTTAATTCTGAGATGTTGATCCTGTATATTGCAGTATTCTGATGACCTGCTTCTTTGCACAGAGACATATAAAAACTGCATTTAGTATTCCTTAGTCCTACTGACACATCTTGCCGAGAGAGGTCACAGGGCGAATCCGTCATGCTATCTTGGATACATTCTGAAAGATGGATGCAGGTACTTGCCTTCAGAACGTGTGAAGGCCATCAGAGACATTCAAAGACCATGAACAATACTCCTCCAATATCCTCTCTGAATCTGGTGAACTGTAGTTGAGCTTGGCAAACTGATTATGCCACGTATGGTTCTGTTTCACGCAAGGGGCTGTGAATTGGACTGATGAAATGAAACACGCCTTTTGTCACATCAAATACCTTCTCTGCTCCGCTCTCGCACTGGGGCCACCAGACTTCAACCTTGACTTTCATCTTTATGTGGCGGACAATAGAGAACTTACCTCTGCAGCTCTTGCACAGGCGCATGGTTACAAGAATGAGACCCATCGCATATTACTCAAAATAGTCCATTGTCCAAGGAGTGACCTGTGTTTGCGGGCAGTGGCAGCTGCAGCGATTACGATTTAAAAGGCATAGGCTGTTTTGTTAGGATACCCACTATAACAGAACCACATAGCACATGATCAGTCAAAGGAGGAGCAACTACGAACACAATTTGGCTGGAAATGCAAAATCTTACCATTTCTGCAGCTACTCATAGAAATCCAGTAACACATCTGAAAACAGATAGCCGATACTCCAACACGATTGTAAAGAATACACTGATTTAACATCCAGTCTGAGGGCTGATTTGCAGCAGACTCCACGAGAAAAATTGATTTTGTATTCGACTGGGATAAAGATTGTGATTTGGCGCTACATATAAAAGTTGATTGATTTTTTCATTGATTGATACTGTAACAGATCTGATCTGAGACCTAGCGATAAAACTATACTGGCAGGATATTCTATCGCTGATAATCACAATCAATGGAAATCATGTTTTTCTGTTTTTTTTTTTACATGTTCATATGGCATTTTTCTGATGCTACAGGACATATAATAAGAAACCTAAGCGCAAAATTGCATTTCTAAGTATTTCTGCGTTCAAATCACTGTGACCCTCTGGCAGACCCAAACAGCAGGTTCAGACACAGTGGGATTTTCTACCACACGAATCTATGTGCCACACAGGTGCCCCGCTATGGAGGCCAGACTCTGAGAAGTAGAGAGGACAATGGTGGAACAAATGTGTTAGCGGATTGAAATGGTCATAAGAAAACTAATTATGATATTAGCTTTCATCATGCCCCTGAAGACGTTAATGTCCATGAGCTGAATAGCTCCTATGTTACCTGCCACTTCTGCTGCACTGGCAATGTTAGGCTGCAAGCTAGCGTGAAGACTAGGGTGCAGATCAGCACTGTCTCCTCCCACGACTCAGAGGCGAATTGCTAATGGTCTACTTGAGCTCTGCAGACAGGACACAGGTAACTCAATTTTAGCTAAAAAAAATTCATGATCACAATTTAGAGACCACTGATAACACTTAAAGTAACAGATGGAAAAAGAAAACGATCAGAGTACGACTTTAAGCAGTCGCATTGATTAACAAGAACATGTCAAATTGCAGAAACTATAGTTGTAACTTTATACATCAATGCTTTTACTGTGGCATATGACTTAAACAAAATCTGGGAAAATAGAGATTTTTTTAACGACTGCCGATAACATTTCAACTTAGTAAAGGAATTGCTTGCAGCTGTGATGTTAGCTGATCAAATTACCAAAATAAAATGTGCAGGACATTTAAAATAAGACTTAGATGATGCCAGAGGAAAAAGTTGAACAGAAAAATGTGTTAAAATGCAGCGCCGAATCCATCACTTCCAGTTTGGTTGAATATTAACGAAACAGACATGCAACCCTCTAATTATTGACCTGATTTCATTTCAGAATCAAGTTCCTGAATCTGAAGTACAGACGTGGCAAAAGAATAACTGCTACAAAAACAGTGATCTGTACCAGATGTAATCTTGACAGAAATCCACATCTGTCCATGTTTCATATCCCCCACAAAGCCCAGGACTTTGTAGACTGCGCAACCAAAAAATAATCAAAGTTCATCATTCTAGAAGACAAATTAACAGAAAGGATTTTATCTAGACTAAAAAATAGAGAAGCAGAAGTCAGAACTGTACTTGTGAAAGTTTAAGACGCTCTTGAAATCTTCTTTTATTTTCATTATAAACCAATCTCCTGTGTATCCCGTGTGTCTGATTTTCAAAAAGGTCCTTTTTTGTCTGACTTCAGGTCAGATTCACCCTGAAATGATACCTGAGCTCTGTGAAGCGTCCAGTTTTTTCCAGTTGAAAGTCTGTAAACATTTAGAATACAAGTAAAAAGGTAACCATGAACAACTACAGCAGTTCAGATTTTTTGGCACAAAATTATTTTTCTAGCATTACACATTTTTAAAATTTGGCACTTAAAACATGTGAAACAAAGACAAAGAAAAAAAAAGTTCTATTCAATATAAGTTACATTCATTTTACCATCAGAACCCCTTAAAGGACATGGTGTGGAAATTTTGAGTGAATCCTGAGAACTCTTCACAACTTTTTCATGCAGGAAACCTTCCAACTTTAAATCGCAGGCTCAGTGGACCATCCGTGATGAGGAGACATTTGTAGAGTTAAAATTTTTGATCAGCCTCAAGTATAAAGTTACAAAGTCTGTGCTGACAGTTTTCACAAACATTTGAAGAGGATGTAAGTATGATTGTCAACTATATTTTTCCCTTTAGTGAACTTTGTGGACAGTCCCTTCACATTAAAACCTCTGCAAAGCTGGAATAAAGGCAAATGTAGGGCACCAAGCTCTCAGAACAGCTCTACCTGATGAAAACCAGGCTGTGTCTCTTTGTCTTTCTTGTTATGGTTATAAAGAGATGTCAGTTCTGTACCTGCACAACTTTTGCAAGATTTCCAAACTTTCTCAGGATTACCCACACATTTTTTACACTTCATGTCCCTTTGGTGCATCATAAAAAAGTCACATGAAAGAAAACTAATAACATCCTCTATGTGAGCGTCTCAAACGTCATGTTTTCCACCAAAGTGTGTGACAGGTTTCTGAGCTCTGCTGCAGATTGAACCTGTTTGTATCCTAGCAGAGCCAGCGTGTCATTGCACAGAGTCTGCACCGTCCTCACGATGTCGAAGCTGAGTCCGAGCCTCCAGCTCTCTGCGGTCGCCCTGGAGTTTCTTCTGGTGGAGTACCTGTGGTTCCACTCTGACGTGGAGGACGACACGTTACTCTTGGTGTTCTTTTCGATCCAAGTACGCACCCTGTCTTCCATGGTCAGACCCACGAACCTGTAGATCTCAGCAGCCTTCTTCTCTGGGTTAAACGCCAGGTCCTCGTACCGCACCGGCATGTACCGTCCTCGCAGCCATGCTAGTCTCTGCAGGCCGGTTTCTGCAGAGGCCGTCATGTCCTTGCAGGTGCTGGTGATCTGGGACAGGTCCACGTAACGGGGCTGTCGTCCTGTTGCGTTCCAGATTTTCCAAGCTCGAAACTGATCTGAAAATGCCATCATGCGAGAGGCGAGGACGGCCCTGGGGTCTCTCACCAGATGGATTATCTTCAGGTCCAGACGTGGGTCCTCAGTCAGGGTGCGCAGGTCACCCACCTCAGGGACCCGCACTGTCTTTATAGCTACATGTCCTCTTGACAGACATGACATGGAAGCTAAGGTGAGGTTCAGGGCTGCGCACTTCTTAGGACACCAGGCTTCATCAGGCAGATCTGCATCTCCCTCCTCTGAGCAGACAGGAGGGGAACAGAGCGCGTGGCTGGAGCTCCGGCGAAAGAAGGAGTTTGTGAGGTGGTCCTGGGGCTCCGGGCGGATGTAGTTCTCCATGAAGTGCAGGTCACAGGTAAAGAGGTTAAGGAGAAGGTCTCTGTAAGCTCCAAGGAGGGCTCGGCGGTCCAGGGAGCGACGCAGTCGGCTGCTGGAATTGGTGAAGGCCTGTTGGACATGGAAGAGAGGTTCAAACACATAGAAGACCTGAGGGTGCTGGTTCAGGAGCTGCCCAGTGAAGGACGAGCCGCTGCGGGTGGTGGCGAACAGGAGGATGTGTTTACGTGGGAACTCCACTGTCCAACCATCATCACATAACGACCTCCACCTGGAGTCTAAAGGAGAGAAACAAACAAAAAAAGAAAAACCATGAGAATTGGGGGGATCGGGCATTCTCAACAGCTGCCCCTACCCTTTGGAACTCCCTACCTCCCTCCATTAGACACTGCCCTGACCCCACTACTTTTAAATCCCTTTTAAAAACTCACTTATTTAAAATTGCTTTTAATATTTAACTGTTTTGTTCATCTCACTGTTTTCATGTCTTTGTCTTATTATCTTGAATTTAACATACTATGTAAAGCGTCTTTGAGTGTTTTTAAAAGCGCTGTACAAATCAAATGAATTATTATTATTATTATTAATTGATTGAGGGGTAGATGATACAGAGGGTTTGGCTGTCAGCTTGTATCGAACACAGGAGGAGGCAGACGGAGGAGCAGGAGAAGGAAGATGGAGAGAGGAGAGCAGGGAGAGGAGCAGGAGGAGAGAGGAAAGCAGGGAGAGGAGCAGGAGGAGGCCAGTGTGTGTGTGTGTGTGTGTGTTTGAAAGCCAAGTGTAAGGATGCCTAGCCCATGTTCACACTTAGAAGAATGGAAGGTCGACACGAATGATCATTTTGACAAGCTTTACTGGTTGCAGATCTGGGTTACAGCTTCAACATGCCACAAATGTAACAAAGACTGGTCTGAGACTGTTCAAGTTTATATAGCTGTCCACAATTGCAAATTTGCTGGCATTTAGCTGACCTGAAAGAGTCTATGTAGGATAAGAACAAAGGACAACATACCTAAAGAAGCCTTACTTGAAAATATGGAGAGCCTATATATGGGGAATGCCATCGCATAGCACAACATATTTTGGAAACCTGAGTGATGTCAAAAATGTGTACAAGGTCCTTGTTGAGGATGGTTGTCAGAGTCCCGTGGCTCAGGGAATGTAACACCAACATATCCATGGTATCTGAGTTACATGGCTTCACCACCCTAACAGCTGACAGGATTGGCAATAGAAAATTCTCCTAACACCAAGCGACAAGGGGAGTGCATGATTTTTATATAATCAAGCAGCCCTAATAGTACCAATGATAAACTGCTTTATGAGTTGATTCCGACTGAGCGCAGGTCTTCTTTAAATATCACCTGCTGACATTACATGCCACACAGAGGTGTCTCATCTGCTTCTGAGCCAAAAGCTGCAGACATACTCAGCTCCATGGGCCTGTATATTTGTTTTTATCTGTATGAGTCAGCTTGATCTTTGTCTTTTGTTTTGCTAACTGTGAAAAAAAGCTTCTCAGATGTTTTAGTGTGACGACTGTTCACTCAAGATGGCTTTGATTGTGATTAATGACTCATAAAAACACCTTTTTTTCCCCTCACAATGAGACAAAGACCTTGATTGTTTGAGCAGAATGACAGTCATTTCGCTCACTCAAGAATAAGTGAGTCTGTTTCTGTCCAGGAGAAAGTCAACTCCAAAATCATAAAAATCAAGCAAATGAATAATTTATTGTAAAGATGCACGAGTAGGTTGTTTATCTGCCACTTGTACAGAGGGAGCTTATGAAACTGGGATTTCTAAATATAGCACAAACAGCTAACGTGTAAATTACTGCTGATGGGGAGTTGATTGCATCGGGGTAATTTTTTTTCTGCACACCGGAGCTGCAGCTGCACTGTTATGGAGGATTCATGAAGATTAAGTGGGGGATGATTATAAAACCAATCATGCATGTTTAATTACTCTTCAAGTTGTGGGATCCCTCATTTACTAATCTGCTTTACTGTTTCTGTTGCTTCAGGTTTTCCGAACCCCTGATCTGGACCCCTGTTGGAGTCCACGCAGCCAAAGATTTTGCTCATTTGAAGTTATTTGTGCGCACACATCCTCTAAAGCACCACAGACTCTGGAATACTAATGTGAGGCAGTACTTTATATAGGCCAGTCTTGAACGGCCGTGGACTCATACCTTTGAGGTGTCTGGTGGAGCAGCGGTAGGCTCCCTGACAGGGTCCAGACAGGGAGTCCCTCAGGGTGCGGATTGCCGTGTACTGGACCCCCAGAGACGCACACACCAGCAGCAGCACCGTCTTCCAGGAGCACTCCATCCTGCCCCCCTCCGGCTCTACATCCTCTACACTGTAGGGAAAACACACACACACACACACACACACACACAATGACATTTTATTGAGATGGATTTTTTTTCCTCTCAGCTTGATACATGAGCAGTTCCAGCTTGTTTGACACCCACAGTCCAGCTCAAAAAGATGACAGGGTGAAAGAATAGTGCCCTAAAAACTTTCTTCCATGCAAATATTCTCTAAACTTGAATATTAAGGCTGATTTATCTGTTTGAGATGACGCAGTTCAACCAGGTTTAAACTGTAACTGTAGCTTCTTTCTGTACTTGGACTTTAGTGAGTTTGGACTCCACAACAGAAACCTCAGTGTGCAATAAACCGTATTTATATGTGTATGCTGTACACATGTTTCAAAGTTTCTTTATCCTGTAATTTCTCTTTTGTATTGTATCTATGCTGCTGTAATTTTTGGAATCTTTGGAGTAGCTGTAGTACCTCTTTTAAGTGGTAGATATACTATACATACAGGTATGCAAGCTGGCCCCCACCGGACCATTTGTCGGACGCATCGGCTGTGCATTGTGTTAGAAATTACAGATGATTACACTGATGGTTTACACTAAGCATGGGTACAGTCAGCCTGTATTTACCCAGATTTGTTAAAAGTCATGTCAACCCTTCTGATGTTTGAAGGGTTAGCTGGTTTTGCCAGGAAACTTCCCACAGGTGATAATATTGATTCAAAGACAACGTGAGATATGCTCCTGGACGATTTCTAAGATATCTTGTTCGTCAGGCTGGATAAGAGACTCACATTTGTAAAACACATGAACACAATCTCCAGCATAAAGAGTGAAGGAAAGGAGAGTTCGGGGGACTCTTTTGAAGACTCTGTTGGGTGTACTGATTTCTATGTCTGGACGATTAAGTCACCCAGGCTGCTCTTCTGGTCTCATTCTGTCTCATGAGCCCTGATTTGCTGCAGCCGATGTACATTTTCCTCAATAGCACACATGCAAAAATGAAGACGAGACTCCTTGTGCAGCATCCATGTGACACAAGAGCAGGGATGGGGATCGTTTATTTTGACTGATACCATTATTAAGACTCCTTGATGATCCAAATCTTTATCAATGCTTTTTTCTATTACCGTTTTAATTTCAAGTATTGTACAGGTTTTCATCTTTTTATTTCAGGATTTGAAAAATGCTGAACTGGGTTTTTAATGGACCCAAGGCTTGAGCCCCATCCTAACCCACTTGGCTGCTTTAAACCAGAATTCACATCTCAATGAGGTCATTGGGATCCCTTGTGTTAGGGTCCTTCAAATTCAGCTTGGTTGGGCCTGCACCCCTGGCATACCTTCTACCTCTGGGTTGGCGTACCGAAAATTAGAAGTTGGTTATGAAGCCAAACGCTGCAGGAAAAGCTGGTGCGAGTAATCCTATGCTCTGAAATGAGATAACCTCAAAATGATTGTTGTGATGCTTATATTTAGATATTTTTACTATCTTGCCTTAACGTAGTAAAAACATGTTTTTGTTTTTAAACGACTCCTATACAACTGCTTATAGGCAGGCGGTCATGGAGCAGAGTGAAAACAGCTGACATGATGATAATAAAGTATACATGTGTACCCATTCGGAAGGGGGAATATTTTATAAAAACTTTAATGTTTAAATGTCAGTCCTTGACTTTCTTTCCAGAAGGATGTTTCAGCCAAACAACTTGTTGAGTTGTCCTCTGCTGCTGCTTCATCTTTCCTCTATTTTACAGAAACTAGCGTGAAGAACCAAAGAGCCACCTGCTCTCTGCTGCCTGTGTGTCACTCGAGTGCTGTCTGCGTGTCCTAAAATGTTCCAGGGAACCTTTATTGTCCTAAACCCTAACTCGGATCAGTTCTGCAGAGGAACACAGCTCTAAGCTTTGTCTTTTGCTGGTGAATGTTTGCTGTGATGTCCCTGTCTGCAAAAGCATCTCTATGCACAGGCACAGTTGCATAATTACATTTCATTTTTTGCCATCCCCTCTTCAGGGTAATTAAGCCCCTGAACTCAGCAGAGAGTAACATACCCGGTTAAATATAGCCGTCTGCACAGAGACTAGTTTAAGTTTTTTTTGTGGACTTTCAAGTTCTTTGCCACGGGCATGAAAGAGCAACGAGACGTGATTTACCAAATGGGCTCAGAAAAAAACTCAATTGTCCCTGTGTACTTAACTTACGGAAGGTAATCACATGAGATCTCTGAGCACACAGTGTCTCCATCACTCAGAGTGTCTGCAGCATCTTCATCATCATCACCTGAAGCAGGTGAAGACACATTAAAGTTGAAAGAAAAAAAAAAGTGTCCTGCCTTCCTGTCTGCGTCCTCTGTCTCTGCAGTCTGTCTTTTTGTCATTAATGATGTTTGTGTGTCCCGGGCAGATTTGTGTCCTCAGGATCGAATCACACCGAGCTGAAATCGGATTTTGATGTTCCATTAATCACAAACAGCGCAAAAGCAAGGATATTTACAAGGCGGGAGAGGAGGAGAGAAATCCAGCTGAAAATCATGAGCAATTCTGTTTGAAAACAGCTAAAAGTTGCAATCGCAGGAAAATGAACTCATCAGGGGACACAATTTGTTTCGTGGTGTGGTATTTATAGACAAGATGACTGAAACGCTGCCAACACTGCAGCCAGCAAATATGCAAAGTCTGGTAATCTTCATTTTAGATAAAAGGAATCCAGTTATTTTCCATTTGAATAACTTTCCGATAGATCATGAAAACTCTATGTTTAAAGCTCTATGTTTAAACCCGCTGGAAATGATCTTGTTGACTCTGTCTAACTAGGAAAGCAAACTAAACCACCAGCAACCTGACTCTTCAGGTTTCAGTGCATTAAAAAAGATAGGAGTAAGATAAGGTGATTGGAAGCAAATATTCACATCGACAGATCAGATCAGGAAGAAAGCTGAATGAGATTTTTTGATAGGAAATACCTCATCTCCGTGCACAGGACAGGGACTGCAGAAATGTTTGATGTGCAAGTTAGACATAATCCCCTGACACAGCTTGCTTTTGGAACTTCTCAAGATTTGGCTTGAATCTGAATTTATGCTCAACATTTGAATTTGAAAGACATGCCCACCTGGGAGTGCATCAAATTTCCCCCTATCATGACAACACTGCCTTTTTGATGTATAAAGAAACAAACCAAAATCCAGACGTGGACAGCACCTCTAGATCCCTCTCCTAGCAGGTCCTCAAGTGTAGCAGCTTAAACTCAAGCAGAAAGCAATGAGCCTTCGCCAGCAATAGATACCTTGTCCACAATCCAGGAGGATACTCAGACTTTCTGTGACATACTGAAGGTGGCGAGGTCTTCAAACTTTATGAGACTTTGGAAAGACTTTCAGCAACACTGGAGAGCAGCGAGTGTCAGGTGTGACAGGACATGTTGTCAGGCCTACAGGAGAGAGCCGCCAAAGCAGGAACAAAATCAAAGTGATACCGTTGGATTGGACTACATGGAAAACCAGAGTAGACAGGACAATATCCACATTCTCAGTTTAAAGGAGGCCACGGAAGGAAATCAACCACTTTAGTTTTTTGAAATATGGTTAGCCACCTCGCTTGAAAATAGTTAATCTATTTAAGGCAGCTAGAGTGGTTTATTTCATTAGTATTGAACTGTAAAATTTAAGTGTTAGTATCAGACTGTTCTGTTACTATGGTTTACAAAATATCTTCAGCAACACCCCCCCCCCCCCCCCCATGATTGACATCTGTAGAAGTATTTTTGCGCTGGCCTCCGTTAAGTTATCCCATTAATGTTCTCATTTTGGAAACTGCAAATAAGAGTACTTTTCAGTCACCCTGTGGAGGACATGCTAAGAAAACTACACAGTTTGGTGGGCAGCATGAGAACTAATGTGAAAATAAGTGCATGGTACATTTTGATATAGGGCTGGGCGATGTGGGAAAAAGTTTATCACAATATTTTTTTTTCACATCATCAATACAATAAACTACTGCATCTGTGAGGTCTTTGTGTCTCTTCACCGTTTTGTCGTAAGGCGTTGCTCTAGAGAAAGTGGACTGAATGGTCGGCTGTTTCGGCTGCACAGGCGTCATGGGCTCCTTGCTCTGCTCAAAGTTTGTAACCTTTTGCATTGTGCGTGCTCTGCCACGTGGCACTGCTTCAGGTGGTAAAAAAAAATTGAGGTATTCCCCGACTTTGCAAGAACAAGTACTTGACATAATTTGTAGTGCACATTACTCTGCTTCATGTCCGACCTCAAAAAAACAAAATACCTCCACACCACCGACGTTTCTGTGCCAGTGTTGTCGACGATGTCATCATCTGTTGAGCCTTTATCTGCATTACTGCCGGGGGTAGCACTCATTTTCTTTTTTTCTCACCAACAGTGCTGTTGGCTTCACATATTAAAGTGCTATGGTTGCATGTAGCTGCAGCCTGATACTATGCAGTTGTTTGCTGTTTGGTTCTAATTCAGCACGATTGGTTCAGTGCGAAACGGATGCGGAGCAACTCCCCTTTTCATTGGATATTTGTATAATCTACTAAAACATGGCAGAATGCAGACTATTGAAAACGGATATTGACCATGTTTTATATTGATATTGAGGGAAATTAATTTTCGATATATATCGTTATGGTTGTATCGTCCAGCCCTATTCTGACATCATGATGTTGCAGCTGCCTTATCAAGAATATGGACAGCAATCAATCGAGGCTGACACAGTTAATGCCTATTTGACACATCAGAAACACAAAGCCGTCCTGGCATCCAAATTCCACATTAAATCCACAGGTGGCTGACTGAGGAGCATCATGTGACTCCAATGTGACAGCTTGTTTTTCCCCTTTTGTCCAGCTCAGAGCCCTCTAGAGAACCAAGACAGATGCTCACATTAAAGCAATTTGATTTGCAAGTCCTCTGGTTTGTTGAGCTTATGGCTCCTTCTGCACAGGGACTCAGAGCAGGAATTACAGATGCTCTGTCATCAGCTGGAAGGAGGCCACAGTCCCTCTAACAACAACAGTCCTTAACATAGGGATTAAAGCCTCGGGGGCAGGATCAGCCCAAGATTACAATGAGACACGCACGCTCCATGGCTGGTTTGTAAAAACAGCGCAGCGAGCTGAGAGAACAAAATATGCAAGGAAAGTGTTGTGATAATGAAAACGTGCGTGTTGCAGGAGAGGAAGTTTCCTCTGTGGAAAATGAAGCAACAAATGAGGTTAGGAGTCGTGATGAGGTTGGGACTGAGGGATTTGGGGATGCAAGTGATGGAGGGGTGTGACAGAGGCAGAGATTTTTCTATTAAGACACCTGAGCCTGTTCACTGAGGATCCTCTGAGTGAAGCCGTTTACCGTAAAACCTCAAGATCAATCCTGCGAAACATACAAAATGTAGCATCAAGGAGGAGGAGCTCATTATTACTCTATCTGTCTTACAACCCATCTCTCTCTTTTCTGCAGCACAACACACACATGCACGCAGACACACAGTGAGCCAAAGGCGGAGAGCAGAGTGCAGCAGCGAAGAGCAGCTGCATCTGACCTCCGGCTACTCAACGGCCCCTGTGATGATGATGATGATGATGATGATGTTGATGATGATGATGGGAGAGAAGATGAACATGACTCCTCAGGCGCACAAACATAACTAAGACGAGTGGAAGGGAGGATGAACAAAAAGGTCAACGCTTCGTATGAATTTCATCAGAGCTGAGGCTGTTAATCTCAAACACTGAGTGAACAGGGTAATACAAAGTTTGCAGAAGAAAAAATAAGAAGTAAATCACTAAATAAATGCATAAGAGATGTACAACTTTGGAAATAATGTGTAGGATGTTTTTTGCAGAAGTCTAAAAGTGATAAAAGAGCATCAATTGAAAGAAAACTGTATTTTGCAAGTAAAGAAGCAAACTATAATGTCAATTCTTCTAGAGATGTTCAGAAAGCATCAAACTTAGCTGGGTCGACTGTTTCACAGCCTCAACTCAAGGTTTACTTTAACCCGAAAACGGATCCATGCTTCATAATATCATCCTCACTTTTCCGTATGAGCGTCTGTTTTTTTTTTTATTACGGTTATTACGCTTTACTGCGCGTTAGAGACGAAAAAACAATAAAATGTTGCCTTACCATAAACGCTCGCGAGGTAAGATGTCTCGTCAGTCCAGACCTCTGCGATGCAATTGTAAGAGAGAGAGAGAGAGAGAGAGAGAGAGAGAGAGAGAGAGAGAGAGAGAGAGAGAGAGCATGCACATCAGACGCGGACTCAGAGCTGGATGCGAAGTGAAGAGAGGAGGGTCTGCGAGAAGAAAAAAAAACCCACAGTAGGGCTGCACCTCAAAATACCACCACACAGCGGAGTTATGAGGTCCTCCAAGTAACATTTAACATGTAATTCACAACCCTTTATGACAGTGTTATTCAACCAGTGTGCCATCACAGATAGTCAGGTGTACCCTGAGAAATTATCCAATTTCACTTTATTGATTTATTTTTTTTTAAACGACTTTTTATTTACAAATAAGATACAATTCTCAAGTGTCTGTGCTGTAATCTACAGTTTGTAGATGGTGAGTATGAATAAGTTGAGGGACTATATTGTCACTGTATAAACTGTATTTGGGGCTACCAAGTGTCATTTTTGGCTAATGATTTTTTTTTAATGAAAAAATGTACCATGGTTAAAAAAGGTTGAAAAACACTGCCTTATGAGACATCAACCGCTACACTTAGAATAGTCAGATCTGTGCCAGATAATAAGAGGCTGTACAGGCTTTGTAATTCAAAGTGTCAGATATTTTTTTACATCTTTCTTTAATTACATAATGCTAAGGCTCAGGAGCTTGTTTCAATGAGCCAAAGTTGAAGCTGCAAATAATCTGCTCGCTCTAGTGTGAGATTTTTTTTTACCAGGTGGGACTTTCATTTGCTCCTGCTGTTGTTTAGACCAGTGGTCCTCAAGTCCAGTCCCTGAGGCCCACTATCCTGCATGTTTTGGATGTTTCCCTGCTCCAACACACCTGATTCAAATGATCAGCTCATTATTAAGATCTGTAATGGCTTAATAACGAGCTGATCATTTGAATCAGGTGTGCTGGAGCAGGGAAACATCCAAAACATGCAGGACAGTGGGTCTCCAGGACTAGGTTTGATAACCACTGGTTTAGCCTAATGTTTGCACATTGTGTGTGTGTGTGTGTGTGTGTGTGCATCTTGTCATCCATCCCACATGCTGGCAGGTGTCATCAGCTGCAGCCAGGCATTTACAATCACCTTAGCATCACCATCAGAGTGTCAGTCCTCTGCCTTCTCACTGACAGCCTCTCGGCAGGGACTTCACTATACAAATGCACATGCGCACACGCGTGCACACTCTCTGTCAATGACCTCTATTTTCCTCATCTCCGCTGAGTATAAATGCTATCATCAGACTTCTTCCTCACTCGACTGCATGCATGCTCCAAAGGGTGAGAGGATGGTTCTCATCCCACTGCTCCCCCCGAGGGTCACCAGGGGGTCGTTTCCAGCAGGTGACAGCTCCATTACTTCTGGGAGTGGGGGTCCATTGTGTTTGTGGTCTTTTAGATGCAGCCTTTATGGTGACTTCAGTGTGTGTTTGCTGTAAGACATGGGAAATACTGTTTTTGTCTTTGCTTTTGTTTGTCCTTTTACTCTTCTTGTAATTCTTCTGTCATTTATAATGTGGCTTCCTTCAGAACAATAACACTGTTGAACTTCTGGGTCATAGCCCTTTGTGGATTGTTAAATTACGAAAGCATTGAAATCCTCCATCCATGGAGGATTAGTCGTCCAGATTTTTTGACTTTTTTTTTATTTTGCCTGGCCGGTGTTTAAACTTCTCAAGCAGGGCATGTCAGAACTCTTTTGACCTTGGGAGCATCGAAAAATACATGTATTAATCATTTCTGCCCCTTGTAATCATAGATGTTTGTACTAAAGTTAAGCGTCTCATTCCTGTGTTTATTTTATTTTTTTGTAGAAGCTGCCGTCTTTGACCTGGGAGATGAAAACAAGCTGGGTGGTCCCATTGCTTTAGAGGAGAGAGAGTTCAGCATCCATTGTTTCCAAAAGGATCGTATTGCAATTAACAAATATCCTTTAACACCACAGTATTACAGTTTTACAGTAATACAGTTTTATTACTGTGTTACGTTTATTACATTTTAACTGAACTGTTTGCTAATAATAATAATCCAGGTTGTCCCTATCTTCTTCAGAGCAGAGATGCATGGTCCCTGATTTTTTAAAATTAATGACAAATTTGGATTTCGTTCATGTTTCTATCTGGTTTCCTCTTTGCATGGTTCAGTTTGAACCTCATTTGTGGATGCAGTGATGAACTGTGCTGTTTTTTTGAGTTATTTTGAGCTCATGCAGTGATTTGTAGTCCAAAATCCTGTCTGTCTTTTAATGTAGTGCTACCTGAGGGCCTGAAGATCAGGACCATCCGGTTTGGTTTTGGTCCTTGTCCCTTTGGAAAGAGATTTCTCCAGATTCTCTGAATCTTTAAAGAATATTTTGTTCTGTAGATGATGAAATCCACTCATTCTTTCACATTTGCCACTCAAGAACATTACTCTAAAATTAAAAGGTGAATTTGTTGTCACGTGTCTTGAATCGATTATGCGTGAGGAATGACACTTAAAAACGATGAAAAAGAAAATCCACTGAGACTGTTAAGGCGGAGAAAGCGAGACTTACCAATAAAAAACAGCAACAACAACGATATCAAGAAATATATCATTTTTTTCTGCATTATATCAGCAAATGTAGAATGATAGTGAAATGAAAGTCTGACAGATGATGACAAATGTAACAAAGTCAGTCTAATACCAACAACGATATAAACATGTATTTGTTATATTTCTTATTTTTTCCAGTCATTATTTCTAAAAGGAGATTTCTGAGATCAGTGTTTAGCTGTCAGTGAGGAAAAATATTTTCCAAGAGTATCCCACACTTGAGCAGAGGCAAAGACTCTGAGGAAGTGGCCCTGCACAGATACAGAGTTTTATGGAGATACTAACCTGAGGTCTCTCTGCACAAACATGTGAATAAAAGAGTGTAAGCTGCAGAGTAAACCCCCACTGACTGATACGGCTGCCGTCTCTGAGCTGATCCCTTACTCTGCCTGCCCACTGCATCGATTCCCGGCTCTGAGCTGCTATACGCCCACACGCCTTCTTGGTGAGATTTAAAATCAGCCAACAAGAGAAAGTTGGATTGTCTTTGAGAGAAGCCTGAATCCTCAGCGGGCCTCTGTGTTTAGATTTACCCACACTAACTCCTCAACACACGAGAAGAGCAGCAAATCAGATACACGTCTAAGGTTTGTTCAGATTTTCTTCTCTTAACTGATCAGGATGTTTAAAGAAGCCTCACCGTCTCCTCTGATCACATCTGATCTGTTACATGACAGCCTTTATTGTTCAGGAAAACAGTGTCTCCTCCGCTCTCTGACTGCTTCCTTTGCAGCTTGCAGTTTCTTTTAAAGATGCGATCTGTCAGTCACATTATCTGTCAATCAGATTTTCTGTCAGTAAGCCTGTCGCAAGGGAGAGCTCGTCTCAGTTATCTAAACCTCTAGAGGAAAGCTGGTGTTCCTGTACACTATAGTATCCTTTACCGAAGAAGGTGAAAAGAAATCTCCCCTCGTTGTTTGTACAGCAGCAGAGGACCCTCAAAGCGCTTTACATTGGATACATCATTCATTCGCTCACACAGTCACACCTTGGTGGTGGTGGAGACGTGGCTGCCATTCTGCGCCTACGGCCTCTCCGACCAGCACCACACAACACTCACAATCATACACCAGTGGAGGACACACACTGGGAGCAAGGTGGGTTAAGTGTCTTGCCCAAGGACACAACGGACAGACTTGGATTAGGGGGGAATCGAACCGCCAACCTTCCGGTTATTGGACGACCGCTCTACCTCCTGAGCTACTGCAAGAAGGTGAAAAGAAATCTCCCCTCGTTGTTTGTACAGCAGCAGTGGAAGCTTGATGTATTCAGGCAAACGCCCACCAAACTCTTCACTCTGGTGTGTCCCTGATAATATCTAAGAGCTTCTGGAGATTTGACCATAAGGCCAGACTAAGCAAACTCACTGACAGAGATGTTAACATAAGATCAACACCACGGTATTGAGTGTGTCAATTTTTTGAAGGAGTACAGTTTAAAAAAATCATGGCAGAGGGGGAGATACTAACATTGGAAGAGCTCACTCTTGTACATTGTAGGACAAGTGGTAACCTCTAGCCTTAAGAAATTAAGCCAATGCTGACACGCTTAAAACAGCAGTTCACACTTCACTTACACACTACGCTAGACAAGCCTGTTTTAAAACAAAAATAAACACGTTTACAGGCTGGTCCAAAGATCAATTCGGACCTGAATCTCAAGGCTGCCACAGCTCCAGGGGAGAGGGAGTGAACAGAAGCTATCTGAGAGAAAGCTAAAGACAAACTGTTTGACAACTAACCCGGGATTTCCACCGCATCCGGAATGGCCCCGATCTGGATTGGTCTTGCACCAATTCCTACCGGATCCATTTGTGAAGCGAGTTTTGTGGCGGATTACAGGCAGCAGGAATCGTGAGTACTCAAAAGAACCCGCGGATTCACGTGCAATCGAGCCACATCGGCTAACCATATAAGCAGTAGATTGTGTCCTTCCAGAGGAGGCAATCTACTTCTAGACTTATAAAATCAGCATCCTCTCATCCATGGTGTCATTGCGGTGAAATGCTGTCTATAAACCTTTCACTTTTTCATCCCCACCCGTTTGCATGGTGTGAAATATGATCAACCTGAAACACGGAGTGTTTTATTTTGAAAAGAGGCCAGATGTTTTATTTTGTGTCTGTGCCTGACTTCCTTTCCAGCATGGGTTAATCTGTGCTGAATTTATCCCGCATGCTCTGGGGTCCGGAGAAATAGAACTCTTGCGATCAGCTGCGGAGTTTGGCGATCCACAGCAGAAAGGAAAGAAGCCGGTGGAAATTGACACATTGAACTTGAATGGTTATGATCAACTGCGATCAGGTGATACAGCCTTTTCATAGCCGTTCCTGATGTGGTTGAAATTATATGTAACAGCCTCACCAACACTATAGGGCCAGTAATTACACAGACTATAGCAGCGTTTGCACAGGATTATTAGATATTGACCTCTGTTAAATCTTAAATAAGCTCCATCTGTGCTCAGTGTGGCACATTTTCACATGCTAACGTTTCTGTTTGAAGACACAGAGGAGCCGCAGG